ATATATATAGTAACAGTACCTTGCACTTTTTTGTTAATAACAGTGGTATTTTCGAACCACGCCTAACGGTTCTGCTTTTCTTCTCACTCACACTCTCGTCTTTCTTCTTCGTCGGATCTGATATACCAACTTTCTCAACTCCGATCATTTCTTCTCCTCCGTAGATTTCATCATGGAACCTGATGTTAGTATGGAGAACTCTTGTATGATCCGGATCGCGGTACTCTCCATCGGTCCGGTTCCGACGGGTCTTCTTCGAGACTACCACGCAATGCTACTAAGGCACCGCACAATTTCTCTCTCCGCAATCAGCTCCTTCTACGTGGAGCACCAGAAATCTCCCTTCGCGAACCAACCGTGGGATACGGGCTCCCTCAGATTCAAGTTCGTGCTAGGTGGGGCTCCTCCCAGCCCCTGGGAGGATTTCCAGTCCAATCGGAAGATCCTCGCCGTAATCGGCATTTGCCACTGCCCTTCCTCTCCCGATCTCGAATCCGTTGCAGATCAATTCGGTGCTATCTGCAAAAGTTACACCTCTTCTCTCGTGCAGCGCTGCTTCGCGTTTTGCCCCTGCGATTCTCATGTGAGTTTGAAGGTTGATCGCGTTTATTAATTTGTTATGTGTCTCGGAAATGATGGTTTCCGTTACCATCACAGTTTAGAGTTTAGACAACAGGTTTAGCATTTCTCTTTTGTGCAGAGTCATTTATGCATCCTGGCTTATAGACTACATTTTTAGAGTTCTATTCAGTCTTGAAATGGAAACATCAACTTTGATTATTTCTGAGAATTATTTTGGAGTATGGCGGCGTGTTCTGTTTTGTCATTTGATTTTGAAAGTGCATTACCGTTTCATTCCTTGAATCCTCATTGTTTCTAACCCAGAAATGGAAGATTTGTTGGTGCTGCTTAATTTATTGTATGAAGTTATTAATGAAATAAATTATCTTCCTGTGAACTGATAAGATATATTTTTCATATTATATGAGCTAAATACTTGGTTTTCTATTGCAGCTGGAGGATGGTGAAAAGAAAGGAAACAATATAATTTTATTTCCTCCTGCTGACCGTCAGACTCAGGAGTTCCACTTGCAGACTATGATGCAAGACATTGCTGCTTCATTGTTGATGGAATTTGAGAAGTGGGTTCTCCGGGCAGAATCTGCGGGAACTATTTTGAAGACACCCTTAGATTCTCAAGCCAATCTCAGCTCAGAGGAGGTTTATGTCTAGGTGTCCTGAGAATATTTATTTGTATTAAACTATTTATTTGCACTGAGATGCTATAATTTAAGCTTAGCTGCTTAAGGTCTTTATTTACTTGGGCAGGTGATTAAGGCTAAAAAACGCAGGCTTGCTCGTGCCCAGAAGACAATAGGGGATTACTGCTTGTTGGCAGGATCACCTGTTGATGCCAATGCTCATTATTCCACAGCATTAGAGCTGGCAAGGTTGACTGCAGATTACTTCTGGTTTGCTGGTGCATTGGAGGGTAGTGTTTGTGCGTTATTGGTATTCTTGCTTCTGAGCCAAACTCATAAGCTATTGATGATGCATGGTTCTTTTCTCTGATCTTTGGTATTTAGACATTTGTTCTTTTAGCATACCCTTTACTTGTGTCTGATGCCTGTTTGGATGCTTAGAAATTAGAAGGAACTTCTCCTAAATGTTCTTCACACATCTGCCAAGACAATGATTAAAATTTTTTCTATGGTGCTCAACTCATGATATATTATTGATTTCTCCAACAGCTAGGTTAACAGGCTACCACATAACCCATTTGCTTGTTAAAGCCATTAAGAAAGTATATGTTCCCTTTATTTAAATTCCACATGGTGGCATGTATGTTGGCTCCTACAATTTTTTATTTCAAAATATAGCTGCGTCTCATGTTTAGTGACCAATTTTCTTTCTTTTTTCCTATTTGATGTCATCAGATAGACCATATGGACCAGAGGGATGCAGTTTTGGAGGATGAGGTCAGGAATAGGTACAACAATGTCATCTTGCATTATAGAAAATCATCTATACAAGACAATCCTCAAAGGTAAAATATCCTCATTGTACTTCTTCTAAATGCATCACTTATAAGGAGTGACTTTTCTTTGAATCGGCATAGATGATACATGTTAAGAAGGCTTTTAACTTCGTCTTTGTCCCCCTTTTTCAGATTTGTGTTTGCATTCTAGCCTGTTTTCATTATGAATGATACTGGAGTTGATATTCTTTCTAGTTGCTAGTGAAACTTTAACCTTTATCATTTTACATTTTCTGACCAATAGATAGCATGTATCTATCTCTATTGTGTCAATGGGTTCCTATAATTGATGCTTTAGTATTGTTGTTGTAATGGATGGCTCTTCTGCCCTTGTAAGCTTGTAAAATACTGCAAAATGTATTTGAGCAAACCTTTTTCTTTTATTTTAACCATTTGAAACTAACTGCAATTATATTTGCAAACAGAGTTTCGCCCCTTAGCTTTGAACTTGAAGCTATATTGAAATTGGCAAGATTTCTTTGCAGGTATGTTCTTTTTAATTGTTGACTTGTAGATGAGACTTGTAACTGCATCATGGTATTTTTGGGATTGATTTTGGGGAGAAGTTATTTGAGAAAGATTTGAACTATATCTTGCAAATTTTAGAACTTGGAGTAATCATTTCCTTATGTTCTGTTTTGACTGCTCTTTTATATTTTGAAAGTATTTCAATTTGTTCAACTTGTTGGGTTTTAATTAGTGTTCTTCCATTATTCCATGTATTTCTTCATAATACATTTTCTCTCTTTATTTCCCTTTTTTTTTTAAAGAAAAAAAAAATTTGTAATTTCTGGTTTCCATAGGAGAGAGCTGACTAAGGAGGTAGTGGACTTGTTGACCAATGCTGCCGATGGTGCAAAATCATTGATTGATGCCAGTGACAGACTCATATTATATATAGAAATAGCTCGTTTATATGGCACTCTTGGTCATCAAAGAAAAGCTGCATTCTTCTCAAGACAGGTGGCTCAGTTGTATATGCAACAGGAAAACAGATTGGCTGCTACTAGTGCCATGCAAGTCTTGTCAATGACAACCAAAGCTTATCGTATTCAGAGTAGAGCGTCAATCTTAAAACAATCTCATTCTAATGTAAGTATATGGACATGAGAATGAAACTAAAAATAATAGGTCAATTTGTATTTATATGTTTCTAGTCAAATTTGATGATGGTAACATAGGCTGGCTGTGAAGTTCTTTTATTAACAGCACATCTTTGTTACTTTAACCTTTTATTTTTCTTGTCCTTCCTTTTTTCTGTTTTCCATCCCAATTAGTCAAGGTAAATTTTGAAGTCAATTCTGACAATGTTTTCCTTGCCAGAAAAGTTCCCACATTCTTCTTTTAAATGTATATTTCATTTGGTATTTTTCTTTCTTTATATAGGAAACTGTACCAGGTCATGCTGACAGTGGAAAATTCCATCACCACTCAGTAGTTTCACTATTTGAGTCTCAATGGAGCACCTTGCAGATGGTTGTGCTGAGGGAGATTTTGCTATCTGCTGTTCGTGCAGGAGATCCTCTTGCAGCTTGGAGTGCTGCAGCAAGGCTCTTAAGATCTTATTACCCTCTAATCACTCCTGCCGGGCAAAATGGCCTTGCTAGTGCACTTGCAAATTCGGCAGAGAGATTGCCTTCGGGAACTCGCTGTGCTGATCCTGCCTTACCTTTCATAAGGTATACTTGGGATCTTTGTTAATTATATCCGCCTGAAACAGTTTGAAATTTTGCATAATTTGATATTATCTCTTGTATTACTACTTCAGATCATATTTTTTAATTTAAACAAACAGCTTGAATTATTTCCTTAGCTACCAAAGAAACATTACATCTCTACTTTCTAGTTTCATATTTACATCTTCTTTGATGTATCTTTTCCTTCTGCCCCTGGAAACTTGTTTGCTTATGTTCCTGTATTTGTGCCATACTTTCTATGACATCTTTTAAAGGCCATGCAATCTTTAACTCTCCAGGTTACACTCATTTCCTCTCCATTCGTCACATATGGACATTGTAAAATGTAATCCAGCAAGAGAAGATTGGTGGGCAGGATCTGCTCCTTCAGGGCCATTTATCTATACACCATTCAGCAAAGGAGAGCCAAATGATAGCAGCAAGCAGGAGCTGATTTGGATAGTTGGAGAACCTGTCCAGGTCTTGGTTGAGTTGGCTAACCCATGCGCATTTGATTTAAGGGTTGATAGCATTTATCTTTCAGTGCATTCGGGGAATTTTGATGCTTTTCCTATTAGTGCAGATCTGCCACCTAACTCATCACAGATTATCACCTTATCAGGAATCCCAACCTCAGCTGGTCCAGTGGTAATACTAGGCTGCATTATCCATTGTTTTGGCGTAATTACTGAGCAGCTCTTTAGAGATGTCGATAATCTGCTGCTAGGAGCAGCACAAGGACTTGTGATTTCTGACCCTTTCAGAAGCTGTGGGTCCCCAAGGTTGAGAAATGTATCTGTTCCAAATATTTCTGCAGTTCCTCCATTGCCACTGTTAGTGTCACATGTTATAGGTGGTGATGGTGCAATCATTCTATATGAAGGTGAAATTTGCAATGTGTGGATAAATCTGTCTAATGCTGGCACAGTTCAGGTTGAACAAGTGCATATTTCACTCTCTGGAAAAAATCAAGATTCTGTTCTCTCAGTCACATATGAAACCTTACAATCTGCCCTTCCTTTGAAGCCTGGTGCTGAAGTGACTATACCTGTGACTTTGAAAGCCTGGCACCTTGGGTTGATGGACCCTGATGCTGCTGCTGGCAAGAGTGCCTCTAGCAGCATGGGCAGAAATTTGAAGGATGGAAGCAGTCCTTCGCTTTTAATCCATTATGCAGGTATCTTTCTAAAATAAATTGATTACCCCCTAGTATTTCCAGCCTAGAGAGTTTCTTACTTAATCAAAACCTTTGTTGTGCTTAAACTTGTTCTTTGTTTTCCAGGGCCACTGACAATTTCTGCAGATTCAGAAATAAAGGAATCTGCTGTGCCAGCAGGCAGGCGCCTTTTTCTTCCATTACAAATTAGTGTTTTGCAGGGTCTCTCTTTAGTAAAAGCTCGTTTGCTTTCCATGGAAATTCCAGCACACATTGGGGATAGCCTTCCCAGGCCAGTTAATAAAGAGGCTACAGCAACAAATGAAGTTGCTGTCTGTGAAAGTAAGATAGACAAATTGATGAAGATTGATCCTTACAGAGGAAGTTGGGGATTACGTTTTCTCGAACTTGAGTTGTCTAATCCAACTGATGTTGTGTTTGAAATTAGTGTCTCTGTCCAGCTGGAAAAATCTAGCAATGAGGATAATCTTTCTGTTGATGAATATGATTATCCTAAAACAAGAATTGATAGGGACTACTCTGCAAGGGTATTGATACCACTAGAGCATTTTAAGTTACCCATTCTCGATGGTTCCTTTTTTTCTAAGGATTTGCAATCTGATGGGTCCGCTGGTGCCAGGAATTCAATCTTCTCGGAAAAGAATACTAAGGCTGAACTGAATGCCTCTATTAAGAATCTGATTTCCAGAATAAAGGTCAGATGGCAATCGGGACGTAACAGCTTTGGAGAATTAAATATTAAGGATGCCATACAGGCAGCCCTCCAGACATCCATTATGGATATACTACTTCCTGATCCTTTGACATTTGGCTTCAGGCTCACCAGAAGTGGCTTTCAAAATTCTGCAGAATCTGATTTGCCCAAACAATCAAACATACAAGTCCATCCCTCTTCACCAAAAAATCATGTGATTGCACATGACATCACCCCAATAGAAGTTCTGGTGTGTAATAACACAAAAGAAAGGATAAAGATGAGTCTTAGTATTACATGCAGAGACGTAGCTGGAGAAAATTGTGCTGAGGGTGACAAAGCTACTGTCCTATGGGCTGGTACTACGTCTATACCCTTTTACAATGATTTGGCAGCTTCATTACATGTCCCAGTCTAGCTTGTCCTTTGATTTGTTTATTCTTATGGTTTTCCTTTCTATCTGATATCATAGATTTCAGATGAGTTTACAAGATAAAATCATATCCAGGGCCATTTTGCATATCCTAATAGGATCATGCCTATTTTATTTTATTTTTTAGTTATTAAATTTTTTGTTGATTACCATGTTAACAAATTACTAGGTGTATCCATAGGCTGACTAGAGCACTGCTTTCAAATTGACAAACCTGTCTAATGCAAATTGACAATATGCTTACGCATTTGTGATATTTCTGTGATTTGTTATCAGGTGTCTTGAGTGGAATAGTTTTGGAGGTTCCTCCCCTGCAAGAAATCAAACATTGTTTCTCTTTGTTCTTCCTTGTACCTGGTGAGTACACGTTGGTTGCCGAATCTTTGATTGATGATGCTAATGACATTCTGAGAGCTAGGGCAAGAACCTTATCACCTGATGAGCCAATATTTTGTTACAGCCCTCCTTTCCACGTACACGTGGTGGGAACTGCGTGATAGTTTTATGCATCTATATTCCGATGATTATTTCTTGCTGGTTACCTTAGATTGAGATTTAAGACAGAAACACCGACATGCAATAGCAACAGTCATACTCTGTATGTTTTTTACCTTGTATTCTTCGGGATGTTGCCAAAAAATTGCTTCGGAAATATACTAAAGGAGTACGAATAAACGTCTCCTCCAATCTTTTGGGACCTAGCTAATTTGATGTTGTGGTGAAGAGGAGACGAGGAAACTTCGTGGAATTTGGTTGTCAAAAGTACACCCCATTTATACCGTCACTTTCTATCCTTTATTGTGACTTCAATTTCATGATGTCTTTATGTAAAATCATATATTATGATATAATTAAAATGTGAACTATTTTGTTGAATAATCTCTTATGGGTCACTAACTCACTCTCTATACATGTCAAAAACAACATAACTATATGGTTTAAATGAAACAGTGAGGGTAGCAGGGTTGGCTTAGTTGAGATTATTGGAGTTTCATCTATTTCCTTTTAAGTTCGAGTTACGCTGTACCCTGGTGTTGAATTGAATCAGGTAACATCCGCTTATTTTAGACTTTTCTTTACCAAAAAGGCATCAATAACCATTTGATTACATAATCATTCCTAATAAGTAGAAAGACTTTGAGAAAAAAATGGTAAGAATCTGATAAGCTTTTCTGCAGAGAGAAGCAACTTAATAATATACTCAAACTTGATATCCTGTCCCACATTGAACAGAATACTATTATGAAAGGATCTCTTCTTCTTTCACGTGAATCATTTTTCTTTCTCTGGATGCCTACGTCGACTGTTGTTTGAAGGCACACCTTAAGAAAGGGCCAATGGCAGTTGGAATTCAGGTCACATTTCGGGTTCCCACATGGCGAAGATGGAACCATATGGCTTCCCTGGAAAACGAAACCCAGAAAGCGACTTGAAATGAGTGAAAATTGTTTTAAAAAAAGACCCAGAAAGCTACGTACTCAAGATCTAAATATAAACATTTTTTTATATATTAGATGATGAACTATACAACAATAAATAGTGCTTCTTTTTCAAACCTCTCTTCATTTATCTTAAAATTCAAATTTAAGATTTCTAACATAAAGATTTAAAATCTCAACTATGAAGACATTCCCTAGTAGACAGGTCTAAATATAGACATGGGTAAATGTAGATGCAAAATTTTCATGAATTACCAAAATAATGTGAATTTTCATGGGCTTTGGCGCCATCAATTCCAAATAAATAATCTAAATATTCATGGTTTATTTAACTGAAAACGATTTTCAATGCATGTTCTCATTATCTATGTTGATTGATAGCCATTGTATTTAAGTTGATAAGAAATTCAATTTCAATCTATTCCAAACAAAAATCAGTAATAAAATCAAGAAAAGCCCGATTGCCCTTTACAATAATTCTTTAAGAAACTTCAATATTGGAATGATTAAAATGCCAGTGTTTTCATGCCATTAGGCTAATTCCCTCTCACCCAAAAGTTCTTTCTCCCTCTGGCTTACAAGTTACAAATTCTGTCTATTGAAAGGGGCCCAAAATTGTCTTAAAAAGGAGATACATTTAAGTAATTGAATTAACTATTAATCAAATGTTCTTTGTCATTTTACCAAAAATAATGGTCATTGTCATTGTCATTGCTAATTGCTTTTGTTTGTTTCTTTGCCAAATATTTACTTGAATACTTTGTTGTATCCACAATTAACTTGAGTAAAAATAAAAGTCAGTTTGGCATATTAAATTTTAAACACCTTTAAATTGTACTTTAAATCGAACAAAATTTTTAACTACTCCATTTTGTATGGCATAAAAAAAATGTTAATATTTTAGTAGAATTCATGAAAAAGTTTTAAAATTATACTCTTAACATTCTGTGGGACAAAAAGCAAACTCCAACATTCTACTATATCATATATGATTCTATCTCTATATATCTTTCCATGTGCGTGCGTAGCAATCAACATCAATCAACAGGGAAGAATGGAGAGATGAACAGTGTTGGTCTACATGCAGTCCTTCTCAATTTTCCTGAAGCAAGCAAATGGGGTGACATCACAAAGAAAGAAGCCATGGTCGTATCTTATGTCTCTTTGATGCCTTTTACTTTCCTCATCTATCATGTCACCTACGTTTAACTTGTGGGGTAGTTGATGCTTCTTTACCCATTGTGGTGCCTTCTTCCCAACACCCATCTCTCCTCTCCATTAGCGGTATTGCTAACCCCAATTCTTAGCACTAAATAGTGCCTCCATTATTGTATTATTAGTATAGGTTAATACATATTATATATTCTTGGTTCTTAGTTCTTACCTTAATTACCATTCAAGCTTTTTAATGGCATGTTTATTACGTGGAGTGGTGTCAAATTCTTTGTTTGTCGACATTAGTAATGCGGTGCTCAATTAGATCAAGAATTTCTTTGTGGTTGTATGGATAAGGAGAACTGCTACTAATTGTGATTTTTGAAAACCTCTTTCCCCATGTTCAAAAAAAAAAAAAAACAGCATTTTGGGTATTTTGCCAAATAGGGGTTTGTATTTTGTTGTTGCTTTCTACCTAATAGCCTTCTTGGCAAACTTCAATTGAGAAGCTCTAAAGAGATATAAGAAATTCTTGTCAATAAATGAGAGGTTGAAAAGGGAGATCTAGAAGGGAAAAATGGCATTGTCACTTTGGCCCAAAGCAATTTCAAAATTTATTCCATTCCTAAGGATACTTCCATCAATCATTCCAAAGTCTAATGCTATATATTTATAAGTATTTTTCAACATATCTTTGTTGAAAGGTCTTCGTATAGATAAGAATAACATGCACTTTTGTTTTTTTAGATTTAGTTTTAATAAAACTAGAAACAGAAGTAATTTACCCTTTTAAATTTAACCAACTTTTGGAGGATTGAAATGATGATGAGAAGATATGAAGATGGAAGTGGGTATGTGGTCCTTGAAGAGTGCCTTAAAGTGCTTTTATGGTGGTCCATGCAGAAGACAAAAAAGAATGCCTAATTTTGAAGGTGAGAGGCTAATTAAAGAGGTCATGAAGGAGGTGGACAAGGGAACATGAGAAGTGGGTATGAATCCCACCACAACAAAACACAAACCAATCCCAAGTTTAGGTGCAACTTAATCTTCATACCCATCAAACGATCTAAAAATCAATCATCTATAAAGTTAAAATGATCATGTAATACAAATTCACGCACTTTTCTTAATTTACGCCCTTTTCTTAATTCACGATAAGAAATGATAGCGAATTATTACAGTTATTTGAATCATTGAATCAAATCATAGAATTAGAGAACCTAAATTTATGGGTATCAAATAAGTTAATTGGCATAGATTCATGCACTTTGCACCCTTCCAATCTTGTCAATTGCATCTTATGATTCTTATCAACCTCCATATGTTTGACAAAATGTCAAACTGAAATAAAGCATCTTTTGATTGTATACACATTTAATCAAAACAGCTGCACACCCTAATGATAGAATGATGCACAATTCTCTTTAAAGCCATATTCCCAGCCCTCTATAATTGTCCCAAAACTCTTGATACCATTTTTTTCGTCCCTTTGCTTTGGACGATGGTTGTTTTAATTAGTGACAAGTGCACCATGGAAAAAGGAATACATCAAACAAGTCTTCTTCAATCAGAAACATGAACGTTTCATTATTGTGTATGGATAAGGCGAATCCCATTGTTCTGGTGGGGCAAAGGCAACACCATTTTCCTAACACCTAATGAAATTTTGATGGTTTATTCCTCATCGTAGAATAAGTCGCATACCCATTTTTAATTGAGATTTGATTTTTTAAAGATATTTTTGTACGAATTTCCTAATATTACACGTAAACTTCTTTTTTTTTTAAAGTTTATTTTATCACGCTACTTTTTGACATTTTTAATCTTTTTTTAATCAAAATTCAATTTCTTAAAATGTTAATAAAAAAAGTAATTTTTCATAAATTATTTAGATTTTACATAAATAACTTACATTTAATTGGATCAACAAAAAATTTGTTTTAAAATATATAAATTAATTTAAAAACACTATAAATAAAAAAAAAAAATACAATGCTCCTATAAAAAATATATTTTGTTATACCAAAAGAAAACTTGGGAAAACAAAAGTTTGTGATTTGAACAGTTTGTCCATTTCATAATCACTGTTTCTGTAAAGGTGTGAAAAGTCAGGCTTTGCTTGGTTCTATTATATTTGGTCCCATTACATGGAAAATTAAGGTAATCGTTCGCAGAGCTCAAAATATCTCATTTTCAGACACAACTACCTGTCAAAGGGGTAGGAATCAAATTTTCAAACTCAGACCAAATTATGATTTTTTTTTTTTTTTTGCATTTAAGAAATGATTTTGACCCAAGAATTGTCTTTAATTTTCTACTGATTTTGTGGGGAATTTTGTCTCTAATCTTTGGCTGCAGCTACCAATTTTGTTGTAATTATTTTTCAATCTTTAATTTTCACTGTTCAAAAAAAAAAAAAAAACAGTGGCTTTCATTTTCAGAAGAAAGGTCAAAACCCTCAAAAATCCTCCTCCAATAATGTACAGGAGCAGATAAAATTTGGAAATCCCAAAACAGTTTCCTATCAAACCCAAAATACCTTTTGTGATTTTCCTAACTTGAGACTAGACATTTTGATCAACACTTCCAAAAAGCAACCTGACCCACACAGTCCTTAGCAAATTAATGCTACTAAGTCTTTCCTAGTGCAAAAAATATTAATAAAAAATAAAATTTATGTAGAAATTAACGTGATTCAATCACTTTAAACTAAGTCCACAAATTATAAAATACATAGATAAAATCATAAAAAGAGTTTTTAA